TACTTTACCCCCAGTCTCTAATGTTTATGGAAGAAAGAAATCATCTAAACTTCTGGTTTGGTCTTTCTCTTTGTGAAATGCAGCAGTCTGTCTGTTGATGTCACTTGACTAGTAGCCACATACTGTCTACGGAAGTTAACTTTTTTAGTACTGAGCTGTTTTGGAAGGAAGAGAAACACACTTAGAAGCTCGAAGCTTTTATGTGTTTGAGACTCATTTGCCCAAAGACAAGGTTATTGAGTTCTAGAAAAATTCAGACACAGCCTGGGTCAGTTTAAATATTTGCTTCATTTTGTATAACACTCCACGCTGGTGGGTATTTAAATGATTAGATGAGGGGTTGTTAACTTTAGGTCCGTGAATGAACTTTAGGCCGTCTGAGTAATCACTGACATTGTAGGCAGAATTTCACGTGTTGTTTCCATTTACGTTTTTGGGAATAATAACTCACAGCTTTCATTAGGTTCTCAAAAGAATACTTCAGTGCCGTGGAGGATCTGTGTGGATGAGTGACAAATGGGAAATCCAGAGACTTGGGTTCTTCTGCCTCCAACAGCAGCCAAAACTTCAAAAAACACGTTACTCTTCTGGACTTTTATTCTCCTCACCCATAAATGAGGAAGTTAAATTAAATCAATCAATGTTTTCCCAAAGTTCATTCATGTACATAGTCATTTATGGACTGTCTTTATGATTATTGCCATATCCAATCACAACCTGTTTTATTTACTTAATATTTTTTCTTACATCTCATCACTTAAAAATCTATTTGAAAAGAAATCTGTTTTGTGCATCTATAAATGGAAAATCAGCATCACATGATGTAAATTTTAAAAAGGTTATTAATTTACTACATAAAGATTATTGTCTTCACACCAGTTGTAGGTGTGCCACACCTGACACATTGGCATAGTAGATGTACAGTCATACCTTGGCATCTGTGGGGGATTGGTTCCAGGACCCCTCTGAGGATACCAAAATCTGACGATGCTCAAGTCCTTTATATAAAATGAAATTGTATTTGCATATATCCCATGTACATACTCCCAAATACTTAGTCAACTCTAGATTTCTTGTAATACTTAATACAACGTAAATGCTCTGTGAATAGTTGTAGCACTGTATTGTTGAAAGAATAATGACAAGAAAAACAGTCTGTATATGTTCATTGTAGGTCCAATGACATTTTTCATTTGCAGTTGGTTGAATCCATAGATGAAAACCCCCCGGATATGGAGGGCTGACTGTATTACACTTAACCCTCTAGATTCACTCTTCACCTTTTTCTACTCAGAAGAGCCCAGACAACACTTTCTTCACTAAGGCATTAAGAAATGAAGATTGTAGTTTTTCTCTGTGGGCCAGATATGACAATGAGGGATGCTGCTTCTGAATTTCAATGGGAAAAATAGGAGCCTGAAATAGTAGACAGAGGCCAGAGGGTGGTGCTTATCTTTCAGAGACAAGGATGCAATGACCAATAAGCCACAGGATGGAATGCTAAGCAGCATGTTTTGACCAATAGGGTTCTGTATGATGGCTACTTGATCACAGGTCTATAGGAAAAAATAGATAGACATCCTATCCTACATTGATTGTCCACTTTCCGCTTGACATAAAGGTGCTGCTTGACACAAAAAGACAAAAAAAAATTCTATGTTCACTGAGCCTAACTCAAATCGCTGTGGTGGGATTTATAGTTTCTTACCTGGTTTCCAGACTTAAAGCTCCTCAACTGAGGGGACATCAGGTTCCTATGAGGAAGTAACCTGAAACGTGGCCAAATTGTATACCATGACAGTTTCCCTAAGCCACTGCCAGAAGGATCTGAAGCAATTAAGTAGGGAGAATGTGTAAGGTGGGGTGGGGGAAGGGAAATACCCAGACTTTCTGGGGGGTTATTAGGAAGTGATTCTGAACCTTAAAAGCCTTCATAGTTTACTCGTTAAAGCTTATAGAAGTAAGATGAGAGAGAGATTTCTTTTTTTTTTGAGATGGAGTCTCGCTCTGTCACCCAGGCTGGAGTGCAGTGATGCGATCTCGGCTCACTGCAACCTCCACTTCCTGGGTTCAGGCAATTCTCTTGCCTCAACCTCCTGAGTAGCTCGGATTACAAGCACGTGCCACAAAACCCAACTAATTTTTGTATTTTTAGTAGAGATGGGTTTCACTACGTTGGTCAAGCTGGTCTCAAACTCCTCACCTCAAGTGATCTACCCGCCTTGGTCTCCCCAAGTGCTGGGATTACAGGTGTAAGCCACTGCACCTGGCCTTTTTTTTGTTTTATTGAGACAGGTCTCACTCTGTCACCTAAGCTGGAGTGCAATGGCGTGATCCCAGCTCACTGCAACCTCCACATCCTGGGCTCAAATTATCCTCCTGCCTCAGCCTCCCAAGTAGCTGAGACCACAGATAGGCACCACCATGCCTGGCTAATTTTTGTATTTTGTTGCAGAGAAAGGGTTTCACCATGTTGCCCAGGCTGGTCTCTAACTCCTGGGCTTAAGCAACCTGCCTGCCTCAGCCTCTCAAACTGCTGGGATTACAGGTGTGAGCCACCACATCCAGCCCAGGAATAGATATATATGTAATAATCCTACAATGATTCTTATACCAATGGAATGAAAGCTATAGTAGGAAGAGCCAAGTGTAAGGAAGCCCCTGGAACTGTACACCTTCTTCTTCACTCTCAACAAGATAGCAAGTCTTGTAGGGAGAATTGCAGAGATTAGCATTACCATAGAAAAATTGGAAGATATAGAAAAGGTGTCCTACCACCTCCCCATTTAACTCACCTGTCTGACTGGTGGAAAAGCTAAATAGGTCATGAAGAATTACAGTGGATTGTTGCAAACTTAATCAGGTGATGATGCAAATTTATTTCCAGACGTGATAACTTTATTGGAGCAAATCAGCATAGCCCATGGCACCTAGTATATAGCTATTGATCTGGTAGCTGTTTCTTTCTGTTCTAATTGGTAAGAAACATCAGAAGTAATTTGCTTTTAAAAAACAGGAACAATGTAAATTTATATTCTCTTGCCCTAGGACTATGTCAACTCTCTTACAATCTATCGTAACAGTCCTGAGGGTCCCGGATCATCTTTATATTCCATAGAACACCATGCTCATCCAGTACATTGAAGACACAATGCAACAAGATTTGATTAACATGAGGTAGCAAGCCAGACGGTAGAAGATAAACACCAAAACATTCATGGTGCTAACAACATTTCTAGAGGTCTAGTAGCATAAGGCATATTGGGATAGCTAAAGTTGTTTGCAAGTTATTGCATCTTGCACCACCTTACAAAAAGAAAGAAGCACAATTCTTGTTGGACTTCTTTGTGTTTTGAAGGTAAAGTATACCACATATTGTATAACTCAGAAGGCTGGACATTTTGAGCAGACAGAGCATGAAAGGGGTCTATCCTTGTCACTTGGGCATTATGACCCAGAAGACTCAAATGTGTTGGAAGTATCTGCAGCTGTATGAGACTCATGGCAATCCCTGATAGGAGAATAACAGCACAGAACCTTTGGGATTTCTTTGTGAAAAGTAGTTTTTGCCTTGCTACTGGATTCCAGTAGACACAATGTGCCTGACTATGGGATGCCAAACGATTATGTTATTTGAGTTGCCCATCTTGAACTGTGTGATATATGATCAACTGAACCGTAAAATGAAACATAACAACGTTTTATTTTAGATGGAAATATATATGATATCGGGCTCCAGCAGGTCTGGAGGGCTTAGTTAGATTGTACTAGTAAGTGGTTTTGACTTCCATGTACTTCCTCTTGATGAGTATATGCCTGGCCCATGGATTTCTGTATGGTATTCTGGCATTGGCAGAAAGTAGACAATCAATGTACTACAACCCCACTCAATGAGGAGAACTTTAAGTGGAATTTCTGGTTGTCTATTTTGTGTGGAAGGAGATGATGGCCTGTGATACAGATCGACACTGGCTCAGGGTTGGTACCAGATGGGTCACCTGGTCAGGGACTTGGAAATAATAAAACTGAAAGATTGGTGATAAGGAGGGTCTAGAAGACAGGTTATCTGGATAGTCTTCTCAGAATGGGACATAGTATGAAGACTTTTTTTTTCTCATGTAAATGCCTGGTAGAAGAAAACCAAAGTAGAGGAAATTCTCAATAATCAATATGGCTTCTTCTGAGAGTGACATTTAGCCTCTTTCCCTGGCCACCTTGGGGTTTGCCCAATGGTCCAGTATTTGAAGTGACAATGGTGGCAGGGATAGATGTTATTCAAGGACTCAACAACATGTTGTCTCCACTGCAAAGTTGACCTGGCTATTGCCATTATTATTATTATTTTTTGAGATGGAGTTTTGCTCTTGTTGCCCAGGCTGGAGTGCAATGGCACGATCTTGGCTCACTGCAACCTCTGCCTCCTGGGTTCAAGCGATACTCCTGTCTCAATCTCCCGAGTAGCTGGGATTATAGGCGCATGCCACCACTCCTGGCTAATTTTTGTATTTTTAGTAGAGCCGGGGTTTCATCATATTGGTCAGGCTGGCCTCAAATTCCTGACCTTAGGTGATCCGCCCACCTTGGCCTCCCAAAGTGTGGGACTGCAGGCGTGAGCCACCATGCCCAGCTGCTATTACCATTGTTAAGTGTCCAGATGGTCCGTAAGAGAGACTAACTTCGAACCCCTGCTACAGCAAGACTCATCGGGGAAACCGGCATGTGTGTCTCACAAAAGCATGCTCCGAATTACAAAGAAGGACAAGCAGGGCGATGGTTGGAGTGTTAATGGAAAAACACAAACTCATCAGATAATGGGAACAATTCCATTCTTACACTGTTGCTGCTGCTATTTTGCTTAATTCTCTTTACCAAAAGGATCAGTTGGAAAAGAAGGAAACTGTTATGATTCAGCAATTTCATCTGTGAGCTTTATCTCATTTCATTCTCATAACAACTCTCCATGCTAGGTCATAGCCCCATTACAGAAATGAAGACACAGGCGCAGAGAGATTAAGTTTCACGTCGAAAGTCTCACGGATAATAAGATGTGATACCGAAGTTTGAACGCAGATCTGTTTATATGTATTGTACCATGCTGCTTTTTAGGAAACTGTCTGCGATGCTAAGATAGATCTCAGTGGGTATCTTCTGGCTACTGTGGAGGTCATTCTACCCTCGCACCTTTGCCAGGGACACTCGGGGAGGCAAACTGAAATTTTTCTTCTGTATCTCTCTTTCAGCTGCAGTCAATGGAGTGAGGATGAGCGGAACCCTGCTTGAAGAGAGGGAGGCAATAGGTGGCAGCTACATGCTCCTGGTAAGGCTCCTGAAGTACCCCAGGTTGGGAGGCATCTCAGGGCTCTTTTTCCTGGGTTGCATCTACGGAATCTCCATCAATGGATGGAGAGAAGTCTGAGTGTCATTGAGTCGAAGACCTGGGTTGAGCCACTTAGGAGAAGGTGAAGAGAAGGGGGTAGGAGCTACTTTGTAGGAGTGACCAAATCTGGGCTGGGAGCCCTTTAATTTAGGTGTATAGCTCTGCTCGATACACACCTAGCCCTGGTGACAAGCAAGGGTCATTTTCTGCATCCCCCTTTCCCACATTATATTTCACAGGAATGAGCTAATTCTCACATGACACCCACATGGCTCTTTTTCTGTTTCTTCCTCTTGGAGAGTGAGACCTCTCACTCTTGAAATCGTTTCTAGAAACTGTTCTGAGACAACTTGTCTGATTCCTCCTAGACCCTCCGATGCCCCTCAGGCTGGGTTAGGTACCTCTTCTCTGTGGCTCCAGGGGCACCCTGTGCTTGGCCTTTTCATAGCACTTTTCATGTGTGCTGTGGGTTGAGTGTATCTATTTTACATTATTGTTGTGGGATAATACATGTAAAGTAATTGAGCTTGGTCTAGGGTTTTGTTATGGTGATTGTCTACTTGTCAGTCATGTTCATCGTAAGCTTTGAAGGAAGGGACTATATCTCTGATACCTTGCACTGCACCCAGGACATGAATATTCAGTAAAGTTCTGATGAAAGAATGAATGAATTGAATACAATGAGTTAAAGAGTAGCAAAGGTAGAGGATGAGTATGCTTTTCTTGAACCATTTAAATATATATAAATAATAAGCATACAATTCCTGAAAATTTCAGTGAGAAAAATTCTTTATTTAAAATAGGCTAGATTTTTTATACTAGATTAAATAAAATACTCTATAAATGAAACTTTTAAATTCAATTATACCAAACCCAGTAATACCAGTCAGGAGTTTTCCACCAATCCCCATTTAATAAAGTTTAAATGAATTAGCTTAGAATTATGAGGATATTTGCCTTTGCTTAGAGAAAAAAGCAGTGCCACTTTTCCTGAATATAATAGTGTCATGCTAGTAAGAGAAATTCTGTAATGCTTAAGACAGCTAAGAAAAAGTGATGATTAAATGCTGAGACCCTTAGACCCTTGCTCTGATGTTATTAATAGTGTTTCTAAATCACAGAGACAATTGACAGATTTTATTTCAACAAGATATTGAAAGCAAGAAGGGGACCTACACTACTTCTAGCCACTTGTATTTATTAATATATGCTTAGCGCTTTTAATGCCTTTGCTGCAGAAGGGTAATAAGTGTTTTAGCAAAAAGGTACACTGTGGGGACAAAGCTGGGAAGCTTGTGCATACAGAAAGTAGCTAATATCTTAGAGCTGTCAGGGCTCTTGGAAATGCCACGCATCATACATCATCTCGGGCTCCTGGGCTCTGTTTCCTGGCATGGATGTTTGCAGAGAGTTTGGGGCCATTGTGGTATCCATGGTTACTTCATCCTGGAAATCCACGGATGTGGTCATGTCAGCATCGTAGGTCCTATAAACATCAGCTAATTCAGGGGTCATCAGTGGGTCAGCACCTGCTGGGGTGACGCTGGGGAGTCCCTTCATCTTCCCTGAAGGGCTCCTTGGCAGGCTGGGAACATCATCCTTAGGGAGAGCAAGGAGTCCTGCATGGGCAACAGATTCTAGCTCTGCAAGGAAAGCTGGGTTTTCTGGATCGTCTGGGTTGGCCTCCGGCATAGGGGAGCCTTGTGCACCTCCTTCTCCCTTCTCAGGGCCTTTAGTCGCAGCCACTGGGGAGTCAAATTCCAGAGTGAAGTCACCGCCCATAGCTGGCTTGTGGGGCATTCCCCCCATGCTGGACCTCATGCCTCCAAATCCTGGAAATATGGCTCCATAGGCCATTGGGTCTCCTCTCCCGCCCTGGAAAAAAGACATTCGTTAAAGATGCCATTATCACATGCTATTAACCATACCATGCAACTCTACCTGGTCACATTCACCAAGGATCTCTAAAAAACTGATAGAGGATAGGAAGTTGGCTGATAGCTTTGTGTAAGCTCATTTCTCACTAAACTGGCTTTGAAACATAATGAAGAGGATTCTGCACTTATCTGGGTGGATCTTGGCGTGATCTCCACAAGAGAGAGATAACAGGGCAGAAGCAAGACTTGAGGCAAAGTGAGTTTGAATTTAATTTTAAGAAAACGAGTAGTTGAAGTGAGTACTACCATCACAAAACAAATAAGAACTGAAACTCATAACTGCATTTGTTGAAGGAGAATCTTGTCAATGGCATTTTTCAGTGTACCCCAAATGAAGTTCCATGTACTTTTTTTTTTGTTTTTTTTCTTTTAGGGGCCTCATTATATGGCCCAGGCTACTGGTCCAGAACTCCTAGGCTCAAGTGATCTTCCTGCCTCAGCCTCCCTAGTAGCTGGGATTACAGGGGCGAGACACTGCACCCAGCTAAGACTTAAATTTTTTTAAAGCACAAAGTTTAAGAAAAAAATCTGGCTTCCATGGAGTAACTAAAATATTTTCTTCCTGTGGACAAACAGAATTCCAGAACTGACCATGTTTCTTTTTCTACCTTTGCTGCCAGAAATATGGGGTCCAAAATCTTAGGCTGTTTGTAGCAATTGAGCAGGACTGTGTGACTTGCATATCTGTATTCTTGATTTTCTTGAAATTATGACTCATTTTAAATCCTACCTTCAACTTTTTGGTTATATTTATTGTGTGTTTTTCATAAGCTCTGCAAAATCTTTTGGGAATGAGGCAGAATAGAAATAATTAATATTATACGATGGCAATTAACACTTACTTGAATTTTGAACTTCCAGTGACTTGTATTGGTGTTATATAGATACAATACTCTTTCCTTCTCCTTTCTCCTGACTCTTCATTCTTTCTCAGCTTTCACATCATCTCCTCCAGGGATGATACTGTGAATCCCTGGACTGGGCTAACTGCCCTTCCTCTCTGACTCTTTCTCTGTAATAAAACTGTTATTGCTTTTATCCCACGATTTTGACATTAGATATCTGCCCTTGTACCTATCTTTTCCATTCATTAGACTGTAAGTTCCTTGAAAACAAGATTTTTTTTTTTTTTTTAGCAGGGTCTTGCTCTGTTGCCTAGGCTGGAGTGCAGCGGCGTGATCTCAGCTCATTGAAACCTCTGCCTCCCAGGCTCTAGTGACTCTCCTGCCTCAGCCTCCTGAGTAGCTGCAACTACAGGCTTGCGCCCCTAAACCCGGCTGATTTTTCTATTTTTAGTGGAGACGGGGTTTTACCATGTTGGCCAGGCTGGTCTCAAACTCCTGATCTCAGGTGATCCACCTGCCTTGACCTCCCAAAGTGCTGGGATTATAGGCGTGGCCACTGCGCCCAGCCGAAAACAAGAATCTTACCTTGTTTTGTTTATAGTATTTTCCTATGTGTGTGGCACATGGAAGGCACACAAAAATACTGATATGTAATTTTTCTTTCACAGATAATATGTGTGTTTGTTAACTCGAAAGAATCTGTAGTTGACAATGATTTGTTAATTCAATATAGCTTTTGTTTGTCTTGCCTTGTGCTCTAACAAATGTAACAGATAAAAAATTTCTTAGGAAAAGAGTTGTACGACTTTATTGATCTCAAATCCTAAACTTGCATGGATAATGATAACATAATACTAGTATATGCTCATTGACAATGCACGTTGACATTTAAAATAATCACATTTTAAACTTGGTTTTCTTTTGCTTTTTGATCTTTCAATTTTGAGATCTGAAGTACTTGTAATGCTGTTGAATTTGATGTTTTGAGGGACCAAATGGTCCGAGAAAGAACAAGAACTCTGTATGAACCACATGTATCTTTTTGGTTTGAAGTGTTTATAGTTCAACGACGGCCTTTCAAGTGGAGGTTTCTCCTCTGTTCATCTACAAGCAATGGGCAAAACTCTATGCTCAAGAATAGTTATCACCCAGAAATGAAAGACTACATAGGAAACATGATGAAATCTTTGGATACTGCTTCAGACTTAAGCTTAGTTTTTGGAGTGGAAAAATCTGAGTCCCATGCTCATTTGGTGACATTCATGGCAGACGTCTCTTGCAGCCAGTCATAAGTGACTGTTCTTCCCTGGCCACTATTTTAAGAAGAGTTAGAAGACATTACTCACTGCCATTTCTTCTGAACTCATGATGCCAAGTCTGGCAGGGGCATTCTGTTCAAAAAGAAATATTGCATCAAAGTACGAAGCAGCTACCTTCTTATCTACTCAAGACAAAGTTAAAAGTTATTTAGTTTTCACTTAAACCTTAATATTAATGCTGTGTACAGAGGTAAAGTGGAGAGGTGAGTCATTATGGAATAAATGTAGTCAACTTGGATAATTCAGATCTAAAATTTATTTTTTCTTTAATACCCTTGTGTGCGTGTGTGTGTGTGTGTGTGTGTGTAGCCAAGATTATCCAAATAGGAAACTTGCCTCCTTAATATTTCAGTTACTAATGTAGGCGTTCAGAGAATATTTATTTGGAATCTCTTGTGTGAGACCTAGATTTTATAATTGTAGCTCTTAAGATAAAATTTAATTAAAAACAATACTTTTTACAGAATATGGACTTACCAGTTGATTTGCTCCAAAAGGCATGTAAAACATTCCTGGATAAAGCTAAATAAAATACAATCATTATCACAAAATGCATTTTCCAATGGAAAAACTTTTAAGTAAATTGCAAACAGAGATGTGGTATTAAAAAAAACTTACTGGAGATTGTTTATTTTGTGGCATTGGTCCCCGAGAAATCAAACGGGCTATTTGGAAAATCTTTAAATGGTGGAAAACAGAATAAGTAATTCACATAGGCAAATCCCCATTACAGTAATTTTTGAGTTACATGAAATACATTTTCAGATGGATTAGTATAGAAATAAGTATTTAATATTTAAGAAAACAAAGGAATCCATTATACTTCATATTCATGGATTAATGGGACAATGAAAAAATTCACTCTTCTTTTTTGAAATATAGAGACAGTTTTTACGACAAAGTGTCTCATTGAGATCTGTACTTACTGATGGACCTTGTGGATCAGGAAAATCCAATCCTGGGAGCTATGTTACAGATAAATACTTACAAATTATCCAGTCAAAAATGACAAATAGATAAAAGCAAAATAAAAGATAGACCAAGTGAACAATAAAACTAAACAACAAATAGAAGTGGTCCTCATTGAGATCTGTACTTTACTGGATGGACCTTGTGGATCAGCAAAATCCATTCTTGGGAGCTATATCATAGGTAAATATTAAAATTATCATAAAAATGAATAAAATAGATAAATACAAATACAAATTAAAAATAGACAAAGTGAACAAATAAAAAAAGTAAAATACAGAAAGTGTCTTTTTGAGATCTGTACTTACTGATGGACCTTGTGGATCAGCAAAATCCATTCTTGGGAGCTATATCGTAGGTAAATATTAAAATTATCATAAAAATGAATAAAATAGATAAATACAAATACAAATAAAAAATAGACAAAGTGAACAAATAAAAAAATACAGAAAGTGTCTCATTGAGATCTGTACTTACTGGTGGACCTTGTGGATCAGCAACATCTGCTCCTGGGAGCTATATCACAGATAAATATTAAAATTACCAGTCAAAAAATTAACAAAATAGACAACAAGAAAATAAAAAAATAGACAAAGTGACATTAAAAATGAAAAAATTGACAAAGTGAACTGATCACATGATTATCTTGTTTGCAATTACAGTAAAACAAAATGAGTTTCATTATTTTACTTTCTTTCAGTGTTTTGGGAGGTATGACCCGAGAGTTTGCAATGGTCTTTTACTAACATTACTCAAATGTACCGGCAGGGGAATGAGGTACATCTATCATGGCTTTGCTATCTCTTGCAGATTAGAAAGTAATGAATTTTGGAACGGGAACATACCTGGTTGGTTTGAACCCTGGCTCTGCCACTTTGTTTTTGTGTACTCCTGGGCCAACTTTGTAACTTCTCAAAGTCTGTCTTCCTTTCTTTAAAAAGACTGATACTATGTATTTTTATAGGATTGTAGGCAGGATGATATGGGGGAATGACACATGCCCACAACATACTGGTTACATGGTACCTTCCTTTTCTTTTACCCATTACACTTTTCTCTACATTATTACAAGACACTTTTTGCATAGTTGTCACCTTTCTGTCAGACAGATAATAATGGAAAATCCTACTTGTTATGCTGAGGGATCAATCACTTTTCTCAGTCTTTCCAACACCAAAAAAAGACCAGTGATAGGAAACCTGGACTTCTCTGGGGTTTTATTCTATTTCCTATGGAAGTTTTCATCTTTTGCAACTAAGAAACCCAGTTTTATAGGCACAGGATCTTTTAGAATCCATGCCCTGTCTCTGATGGCAAAAGATAGGAATGGATATTTATGTTTTACTCAAAAAATAAATCTCAGATATGGAAGACTGATTAAGAATATATTTATATCATGTATTATGCCTGAAGGCTACGATTATTTAAAATTGCCCTGCAAATTAGTTTTCTTCTATTAGGTTAGCTGGTGATTCTGATCTGACTTCAAGAGAAAGGAAGTACCTCAGGCTTTGGTGGCTTATCTGATGGTGCCACCTGCTGCTGAACCAGAGGCAGTTCTCCTTCCTGCAAGAGCAGCTGTCCCAGGTGAATTGGAGGCTGAAGTGCTTCTTTCTGTGCTGTGGCCTCGTCGGCGGTTGCAGCAGCGGCCTGGAGGAAAGGTTTCAGTCCTGGCTGTTGAGGCTTCAAGGATGGCTGTGATGGGAGAGGTGGGGGATGCACAGGCAAAGAATATTCATACTGCAGAGAAATTTGAAAAGAGTGTCAGGAAGGGATGGCTCATTAAACAACGGTGCCTAGAATTTCTAAACAAAGGGGCTTGGGGCACTTTCTATCTGGAAGGGAGGCTAGGGGACTTGTCTTGAAGTTGAGTTTACATAGGAAGCACCAGTTAGTGTTAATATTGTTTGGGGAGGTCTTGCGTGTGCCTCCCCTACCTCCTTTGGGACCACCATTGCTCATGAAGGTGAAGCTACATGAACCTCCTGGTAGGATGAGACATGTCCTTCTCTAAGTTCTCATAGCTGTCTGTATGTATCTGTATCTTTATTTTACCACTTTCTCACTGGATGGTAATTATTTGTTATAAATCTTTGTCCCCCAGTCAATGGAGAGAGAATGATATGTCTTGTTTCTCTTTATAGCCCCTGTACATAACATAGCTCCTAACAAGTGCCTGGCCCATGGTGAGTACCTAGTATATTTTTCAAATTAATGAAAGCATAAAGCATAATTAATTAAAATGCCAATCAAATTCTTGCAAATGGAAATTCACTTTGGAAACAAGTGAAGAAACAGTCACCATTAACATAATTTATTGTCCTACTAAATGGGACCTCATGGTAATGCTCCTGCTGTGGAAGACCACCTGGAACTAAAATTCCCTGTTAATCTTGGTTCTGAGTCCATATATTAAATGAAAAAATTCCCTGTTAAAATCACCATATTTTGTTGCTTCTTCTAGAAATTACTTGTGGCGAATGGCTCCCTATTGTTTGTAGAATGATTGCAAACTCCTCAGACCAGCAAGGAAGTCTCACAACAATTCGGGGCTCTGCTTTGCCTCTCCAGTCCTCACCCCTCTCTGAGCTCACATCTCACAATTCAGCACTTTGAAATATGTTGTCTTGTCCTATCTGAAATTTCACAATCCTTGGAGCCATTCGTAAATGTCTTCACTTTTACTACCAAATCACAATTTGGTTTATGTATTTATTAGGCACCTAATCAATAATGGTTAACAGATTGATATATTTATTGACTTCTGTAGGGTTCATGATGTTTTATTTTTTTAAATTTCTTAAATTTTTTTTGAGACAGAGTCTCACTCTATTGCCCAGGTTGGAGTGCAGTGGCACAATCTCGGCTCACTGCAGCCTCTGCCTCCTGGGTTCAAGCGATTCTCCTGCCTCAGCCTCCCGAGAGTAGCTGAGATTACAGGTGCCTGCCGCCATGCCTGGCTAATTTTTGTATTTTTAGTAGAGACGGGGTTTCACCATGTTGGCCAGGCCGGTCTTGAGCTCCTCACCTCAAGTGATCCATCCACCTTGGCCTCCCAAAGTGCTGGGATTACAGGCATGAGCCATCGCACCTGGCTATGGTGTTTTAACCAGGATTATTGTCATCATTTGAAATTAGCCTTTGAGTAATTATTTAGGAAATCTTGATTCAAATGAAAATTGTCCAGGGTGTAGCCTGCTTTGATTTTTGAGGATTGTTTGCTGATATCTTTAACATAGGTCTCATATTTTGGAGGCTGTATCTTCCTATTTTAAATAAATATGCAAATAGTTTCAAATTTAAAAATATTTCTTAAACACTAAAAGCAGTTATAGGCTTTGATTTATTTGGCACGAGAATAATTTTTTGTTAATGCTAGGACTTGGCTATTGCTAATTTATCACAACTCAAGGAAGGCAAGTAAGAAGAGGTTTTAAAGCCTGAGGTTTCAAACATATTGACGCTATTCACTCACCTGTTGAGTTTCATGTTCCCTTGGCCTCATCCATGGAGGAGAGGAATGTGGTGGGAGGAGACCGTGCATCCACAAAGAATTAAATGATTTCCCAAAGCCAAATCTAGAATACTAAAGACATGGATAAAAAAAGGCATGCTTATATTTAAATGTTAAATATAACATTGGTTATATTTGGTTTTCTTTTCTTTTCTTTTTTTTTTTTTAGATGGAATCTTGCTCTGTCACCAGGCTGGAGTGCAGTGGGCGATCTTGGCTCACAGCATCCGCCTCCTGGGTTCAAGCAATTCTCCTGCCTCAGCCTCCTGTGTAGCTGGGACTACAGGCACGCACCATCACGCCCAGCTAGTTTTTGTATTTTTAGTAGAGACGGGGTTTCACCATGTTGGCCAGGATGGTCTTGGTCTCTTGACCTCATGATCCGCCCGCCTCGGCCTCCCAAAGTGCTGGAATTACAGGCGTGAGCCACTGCGCCCAGCCTGGTTTTCATTTTCTAAAAAATCAACAGATAGTGTAAATATAGCAAAAGCAAAAGTGGTGTTGCTTAATTTAAAATGGATAGGTATGGTTGGACATGGTGGCTCATGCCTCTAATCCCAGCACTTTGGGAGGCCGAGGTGGGTGGATCACCTGAGGTCATGAGTTTGAGATCAGCCTAGCGACATGGTGAAATCCCGTCTCTACTAAAAAATACAAAAATTAGCCTGGCATGGTGGCAGATGCCTGTAATTCCAGCTACTCGGGAGGCTGAGACAGGAGAATAGCTTGAACTCAGGAGGCGGAGGTTGCAGTGAGCCGAGATCGCACCACTGCACTTCAGCCTGGGCCACAGAGCGATACTCTGTCTAAATAAATAAATAATAAATAAAAATAAATCAAATGGATAGGTAAACTGTTCCTTTCAATGAACTTAAATTTCATTTTGAGCTAGTCTGCAATATTTCCATAAACTTGTTTGAGATTTAGATTTTTTAAGCACTTATGTTTTGTGCCATATAATAAAATTAATAATGCACAAAAATATCCTTTTTTTAACTAAAGAAAACTCAATACTATTTTTATTTTTCCCTATCATTCTATCTTATTTTGTTTTAGGTTCTCATTTACTTCTTGATTCTTCCAATATTTAGTATATTGTCTATTCATAAATAAATTTGATGAATTGTAATGCTGCTGCTAATATTAACACCAGCACCACCATGAATACTTGCAATAAGAAATATGATTACCTGAGAAAGTGTGTTTAATCCTTGCAGACTTCCCAACTGTCTCATTGTCTATCAAGAAAAAAGTGGGTTACTGTTTATCACATATGCTGTGTTTGACACAACTGATTTCTCGTGATATTTGACATTATCAACTCAAAGTTTGATGTGGATCAGTTTAACAAAATGAAAGTAGACACAAATCATCATCGAAAGGTGGAAATATTAAATTTGGTTCTGCCATTGTTATTATTACTGCTATTAAAATAATGCAGTTGCTTTTATCATTAATTAAAGGAGAAAAAGTATTATTTAAGTGGAGGTTACATTGAAACATGGGGAAATAGCTCATTCCACTGAGATATAAATGTAATTGTGAGGAATTTGCTTCATTGACTCTTTTCTCCCCATTTAATTTACTTTGCCCCTTACAAGTTCAGCCAGAAGAGGAATTTGAAACAAACAAATAAATAAAACTTTTACCTCTTTCTCAAACAATAAATCTTTCAAAATATTAAATATAGAAACTATTGAAAGAAATGTTAAGTATCTGGATAGATTATCGAGAATTCCACCATTTCAACAGAAAGTCAATTTCACTTTTTTCATGGGAAGAGATTCAGAACGCTTTGGATTGAGTTTAAGCTAAAAAAGAAAAAAAACCCTCAGTGCAATTAGCTTCCATGTGAAGTAAGCGTCTAGCTCAAATAGGTATTGATTGCCCCCAGCTTACCATGACACATGGAAATTTCACAAGACCTTGTGAAAAATTTTTAATCTTATAAATATCTTTCTATATATAACTGTCAATATTTTTCATTGACATGACCAAAATTTCTGTTTTGCTGGGGTTTTCTAAACAGAATATATATTACATGAGAACTGCAATAAGACAAATACACTGTACAACTTATACAGGAAGTATCATAGTACAATGTTAATGCTGTTTGCCAGACTTATAAAAAATTAAATTTTGTACAGGTACATTTATTTCATGAGAACTTTGTCATGTAAGATAGTATAAGGAGCAGGACTAAAAATAAACTGTGAGTACAGAGCAATGTATTTTAATTAAAGTAGTAATTTTATTAAAATGTATATTCTATATAAGGCATTAAGTATTAATATTGCTTTTGTTTGCATAGAAATAATGTTCTAAAAAGTAAAACACCTGAGAGTTTAAAATTGCAGTAGAATTATAAGACAAAGCTCTAGTAAATGTCATAATTTTTCTAGCACTCCTCAGGATAACAGCCACAAACTTCTGGCTAGGAAAACTGAGAAACACACCACCATATTTCTCCTGTATCGCAAATATACCAATGTAAAGTTAATACGCAAAAAACTCTGTCAATACATACCTCAAGGCTCAAACTAGCCATACCCGGTGTTCCAGTTTGCTGAGGAAAGAACTGAATGAAAATAAGAATAATTTTGAGTCTCATTGGTACAAAACTTCCTTCAATGCCCATTGGGCATAGGATATTGCTCCAGTACATAAGGGCTACCTGAGGGACCACCATTTTGGTTTATTATGCAAATAACTTGAGTGCTTGGGCAGAATGAAGAAGAGCATAAGTTATTTGGGAGAATCAACACAGTATTTGAAAATTTTGCTCCCACCTGCATCATCTATCCTTTGTCTGCATCTTAATGCTTCGTTGCTTTAAAAGCAAAATATGATTTAAAGTTACACACAAGGAGAAGTAGAATAAAGCAACAAAATAGAAAACTACTAGTGCTTTATATTCTTAAAAAATTACCACAGAAAAAAGTAAAGGGGACAAACTCAAGCTGAATTTTCATGTGCTTTTGACAAATCTACATGATTTTGGTTTACCAGATGTGGCATGGGATCATGACATTCAGAAAAATCATATGCAAAATCTAACTTGACTCCCATTCAAAGGACTTCAGCAAATTCTCCATGATTTTTAGTGAAAGATTATTTTATGTATAAACCTACTATATTTTGGGATCATATCAAAGATTTTTTTTTCCTTAAATAAAAAGCATTCTAGCACAAAATACTATTCTACTTAACGTGTTCACTTAAAAGTTGTTCAAAAATATACCTATCTATACAATTAGTTTTTAAAAATGTAAGATATTTTCCTTTCCTTTTTTTTTTTTTCCCCAAGACTAAGTTTCACTCTGTCACCCAGGCTGGAGTGCAGTAGTGTGATCTCGGCTCACTGCAACCTCTGCCTGCCGGGTCCAAGCGATCCTCCTCCCACGTAGCTGGGATTACAGGTGTGCGCCACCAAGTCCGGCTAATTTTTGTATTTTTAGTAGAGACAGAGTTTCACCATGTTGGCCAGGCTGGTCTTGAACTCCTGAGCTCAAGTGATCCACCCACCTCGGCCTCCCAAAGTGCTGGGATTACAGACATGAGCCACTGCACCTGGCTTCCTTTTTTAAAAAAATAGAGATGGGGGTCTCACTATGTTGCCCAGGCTTGTCTTGAACTCCTGAGCTCAAGTAATCCTCCTACCTTAGCCTCCCAAAGTGCTGGGATGATAGGCATGAGTCACCATGCCCAGCCTTTTGTATTTTTTTGTTGTTGTTGTTAAAGATATTTTTCTTTCGAAACCAATCCTTATTACTTTACACAAATACCAGTAGAAAACATGGAGAATGGAAGAGTAGGAATTAGAGTAAATTGGATTTTGAGAGTCTCTGGTTCTTCGGATACTCTCACTTTCTAAGACCAAGGGGTTGTAATGCCATCTTTCCTTCAGTTATACCCCAAGGATTTATGGAATGTTTACTAAACATATTGGTATTATTTTTCCTTTATGAGTAAGAAGTTAAAGAATTACACCCCCTGCTTTTTTACCCCCCACCTTTTTCATATAAGTAAAATCCCACCTTCTGGGTCACGGTGAGAATTTCCTTACATAATTCAGTTTTGGACAAGAATGGAGGGAAAGGGCCAGGCACGGAGGCTCACGCCTGTAATCCCAGCACTTTGGGAGGCCGAGGTGGGCAGATCATGAGGTCAGGAATTTGAGAACAGCCTGGCCAACATGGCGAAACCTTGTCTCTGCTAAACATACAAAAATTAACTGGGTGTGGTGGTGGGCACCTGTAATGCCAGCTACTTGGGAGGCTGAGGCAGGAGAATCGCTTGAACCCAGGAGGAGGAGGTGGCAGTGAGCTGAGATCTCAGCATTGAACTCCAGCCTGGGCAACAAAGCCAGATTGTTTCAAAAAAAAAAAAAAAAGAAAAAGAAAAAGAATAGAGGGAAAGGCAGTATAAATATGTAGCAAATACTCTGGGTAGGAAAGAGGTTAGCTGTATAGACAGGAAGGGTGATTGTGCATGTACGTGTGTATGTGGTAGGTAGCTTGTTGAGAATTTGGGGGAATCGTGAGAGCGGGACTTCTTCCCCACTATTTGCCAGTGCATAAATAACACATCTTGGATTGAACCACAGAACAAAGTGTACTTTGCTTTCCATCTGCTCTAAGTCATGAATTAAAGAATATTTACACGAATGTATACAGATAGGGGATACATTTCTCATGCAGAATTAACAGGAGAAGAACATCTGATCTGACAAGCAATTGGTTGGCAATAATAAGCAATTGTTCTGTTCCTCAGAGCGGACCCAGTTGATTCAGGTGTGGATCATTACAGGTTCAAAGAACACCAATGTGTTAGACCGATGGTAAATGACTGAGGCTGATCTCAACGTCAGTATCATACAAAGGTAAGCTAGGGTGGCACCCTCAAGTTTTCTTTCATTTAAAATTCACCTTGTGTGATGAAACAGGGACTTTATTTTTATTTGTGGAATTAAGGTTTTCATCATTATAATCAGGTTTCATCCTCTTTTTCCATTTCCATTCTCTTTCACTAAAACACTTTAAGAAAACCAAATAGCTAACCTTTTCTTTCAGGGCATTAAAATATTCTAAAGTTCATTTGAGGCCAACTATGAGCTCCTGGAGGTAAGAGATCATGTCTTATTTACTTTAATTTTTCCAATGCCCAGCACATTGCTGGATGCATGGCGGCTGCTCAGTATATATTTGCTAAATGCGTATAGCAGCCAAATAAAGTTTTTGCGATAACAGAATTGCATGCTGTTGGCTGGAGTAGTTCAGTGTTCAAAAGATTGTGTTTGTATGAGATCATTTCAATATATACTAGAATGGATCAGGTGTGGGACTGTAATACACAGTTAGCCCCATCACTATGATATGTTTTGATTTATGAAACTTCAGCTCTCAGTCACACAATTTTTGCTTACAAGGTAAATTTGCTAGTTAATTACTAGCTTCAAATAGAATTATCTAGCTGAGTTTTGTAACCATAGAAATTTGGAGATGGTTCTTTTTGAAATGAAGAAAATGTACTTTTCTTTTTCAGAGAAATTTCCTCTTTCCATTTCAACTTTATACTGATAGCAAGAAGTTGATAATAAAATTTCGCCATGCATTGTACAGACTAAGTCTTTTAACTTTGAATGAGTGGAATAAGATCTAGAAATTGTTTTGGGACTATTTTAAATAACTTTTCAGTAGAAATATCATAAGCCTCACTTACTGCTTTTTTTTTTTTTTTTGAGATGGAGTCTCACTGTGTCACCCAGGCTGGAGTGCAGTGATGCAATCTTGGCTTACTGCAACCTCCACCTCTGGGGTTCAAGCAATTCTCCTGCCTCAGCCTCCCAAGTAACTGGGATTACAGGTGCACACCACTATGCCCGGCTAATTTTTGTATTTTTAGTAGAGATGGAGTTTCGCATGTTGGCCAGGCTGATCTTGAGCTCCTCACCTCAGGTGATCCGCCTGCCTCAGCCTCCCAAAGTGCTGGGATTACAGGGGTGAGCCACCAAGTCCAGCTATCACTTACCGCTTTTGGATTGCAAGACTGACATCTGAGCGACTATGGCTTTTGACTCCATGGGACTATACTACTGGATTAAATCAAGTGAGTCTATGCGTGGACTCTCAGTCCAAATCCCTTCAGTGTTGTCTGGAGTCCAACAATCAAGAACCTCTTCTGGGACACACTCTAAAGACTGACTTACCGGCACTGCAAAACTCATTTCCAGGAGGCATAGGATCAGTATCAGGTCTTTCATTTTGAAAAGTGGAATCTAAAACATAATTAAGTTGGAGAATTAAATCAGATTAATTTTTATTCAGAATGGTTAAAAGACAATTTTTGAAAATGAGCCTGAGTCTCTGCTCTTCCAAAGACAACCAGGATAAAGGTTAGAAGAACAAAATAAAAAACTAACTTGTATGTAGTAGTTTCTGAAATAAATTGACAAGCAATTAAAATATATCTAAGCACTTTTTAAATGGATCTACAGCCTGAATAAATATGTAGGAACAACCTCCATCGATATCCTATAAGTGCTATGTTTCATTTCATAAAGTGAATTATGAATTTAAAAATCCTTCCCACTAAGTAAAATATTGGTGTACCAGGTATTATTCACAGAAGTTTATACTTTGCTTACCCTTTGGGATACATTTTGAAATGCATGTGAAATGTAACGCACCTAACAGTCATTTTATAACAAACCTTTATTTGCAGGAATAGAGGGTATATCATTGCATGTTTAGTTTAGGTAATGTACGTAACCATTCCAAAACTTATCTTTTCAAATGAGAGTAAATTGGCTATTTTAATTTCCTTTGATGTTAGTGGAAAATATGTTTCAAATTTAGCTTTCCTCTTCCTAAAATGAATTATCTTTTAAAATTTATTCTATAAATTCAAAAAGCTCTTTATTCTTACATGAATAGATCTCTGAATAGCCAAGAAATTTACTCATCTTCTAATATTACAAAAAATTAGGCAGTATAATAAAAAATAGTTAAAAAAAATACAGTCTATAGATAAAAGTCTTTTTTTTTTTCTTAGTTGAATGGGTGTTAGGCATGTCATCTCTTAACATGCTAATGGATTACAACAAGCAATAATTCAGCTACTGGTGACAAATGAAGATAAATCCTCTTTATAAAAGCTGTCTGGAGATAGGAAAAAAAGAATTTACAGGAAACACATGGAAATCATAAAATCCCATTTTACCTTAGATGCTGACATGCACTGTGCTCTCAGGGCCTGATGATGCCAACCAAGATAGTTCTAAGAAAAGAAGATTAAAATTTTTTTCAGGACTGTGCGTGGGACTTGCTCTGTACTTCTCATTCAGGGAAGATTAGAAACCTTTATTTAAAGTGCCAATCCACCAATCAAAGTGAAGCAAAATGGCTGGGGGGCGGGGGCGGGGAGGTTGGGGGGGCGGGAATCTCTGCTCCTGCAATTAGTCCACAACCTTTTATTGCATGCAGGGACATTGGCCCAGTAGGGTCTCATTATTTTTAATTGTACTGCAGCCCCTGTACTTATTCAGAGAACTTGATAGCAGGGAAGGCAGTAAAGGAATAATGGACATAGGCTCTGAAGACAATTATTTTGGTGAGCTGGGGGAAATATATGTAAAATAGATGCAAAACAAGCCATTATCTGTTTTGTGCTGGTTTTATCTGCAGATAAAGCTAGTGACCCAATGCTAGCATTATTCAGATTTTCACCCTCCTGTTTGTTGCAGTAAAAGTAACTACCCTCCTTCCCCCTCAGCACACACAGAGTCTGAAAGAAAACATTAAAGTGTTAGATGGATAATGAATGTGTGTGATTTCTTTCTTGAATTTCCTAGATATTTTCATATCTGGAGATAATTGATTAGAGACAGCCAAGCTTTTGTAAGAAACTACAATTGGACCCTCTGCAAGAATCAGGTTTACTTGAGGTAAAACTTTGGTGCATTTAAAAAAAAATTTGTGGAGACAGGGACATAAATCAGAACATTCTCTATGAACCAAATCAGTGGGCACAAGCGTCAGTTCACACTTTAGATAGACACATTTCCAGGCATTAGTATCAAGCCAGGTTAATAAGACATATTTCGATCATTTAAAAGGTTAACATCAACACAGAGTGGTTTTTCTCCATGAACAGATAATATCTTGAATGTGGATTGTATATCAGCTGCTTTTGTTACTTCTCTGCCCATCCTTGTCTTTCCAAAGTTGTGATTTCAGATATGGTAGGGATAAGCATTTAAGATTAGTTTCTGAAGAAGGGATGAG